AAAACATCTTTCTTATTCATGTGCAAGCTTAAGTCAGGCAAATACCACTATGGTACAGGTATTAATAAAAACAACAACACCCTGCCTCCATTCTGCCCATTGTGAAACATGATAACAAAGTTTGGTATAACTTTCTCTTGCGCTCTTAATACTTCCTGGGAATTATTTAAGGGTGTGTGTAAAGGTACCTTTGCGTCTGCCTAGAACAGAAGAAGGCAATGGAGGGCAGGGGAAACCCCTGGACACATTCCATCAGCCTTCACCAATTCGTGTGGATGGCAAGTGGTAGAATAGCAACCCACATCCATGACTGAAAAATGGGAATGGGTGCAAGCCAACATGCCAAATGTTCACATAAAAGAAATGGATCTGAAGGATACGTTTACAATATAATATGCAGGGAGTTGGACTAGATGACACTTGGGGTTCCTTCCAACTATGCAATTCTATGATTCTAGAAGAACCCTTATAGGCCCAAACTATCACAGCTGCACTCTTTAATAGAGTGTTGGATACCGTCCAAGGCAGATCAAGTAGTCCAGTGTGGTTATGGATCCCTCCAGTGGTAGAAACTAGAAATGCTGAATGTATATAGTGTTTGCATTTCTGGTCTTGTGTGTGCATATCAACATTTATGCTACAGATTTCACCATAGTTACTTCTCTCCAGAGAACCCTCTAAACTGATTCTATGAGACGACAAGGTTAGAGAAATCAGCTTTCTATGCACCACCCCTCACACTACAACTCCCTAGTTTATAACACTAGTAAACAGGTATGATATTATGATATGTGTATTGGCATTTTTTCTATTAAAAAACCCAAACTCCTTTCCCCCACTTGAATGTTGGGGTGTGGGTGCTTCCAGACAACCTGTTTATTGAGAATTAAGGTTGATTTGTTTCCAGGCAGATTAAATAACACTGGTTATTTAATGAGCATGCATGCTGCTTTGTTTGAGGGGAGGTTATAAGATATTGTGTAAAAGCACGAGTTACCCAGTGGGCTTCCTTATGTCACTTTATCACAAAAAGTCTGATTTTTTGGATAAGCAGATTTGTTGTGCAAGATCAACTTTAATTGTGCAACCTGATAAGTGATTGAATTCCACCTGAATAAAGCAACAAGTGAGCATGTTCCTACTCAACCAAATGTTCAACCTATTCAACCAAATGTTTGGAAGGTGAGGGAATTTCTTCTGAGTGGGTCATTTATATTGCTGCTGTGCTCTGTGGTTCAAAGTCCCAGAAAATGATGTGAAGAGGTGGCAGCTTAGTCCACTAGGGCAAATAGGGCATGGCCCCAACAACCTCAGTCTGATCTTAGCCTTCCCTCGTCACCCAAGAGGTAGGGCATGAATTTTTATGAATTGAAAATATTTCTGTCCTGCCTTTTGACTGTAGTTTTCAAGATGACTTACAAAAATTATTTGAAACAATTATCATATTATTGTAAATTAAAGGCCAGTATTAAATCCAGCAAAACACATCCATGAAACATACACACACAAAACGTAACTACAGCCCCAAATCAATCAAGAAAATTAATAAATATTGTTAAATGTCCTGGGTGAATGACCTCCCCACAAACAAATCAGAACAAACACTCAATTAAGAGCAGAATCCTATAACCTCCACATCAGCTTTTGTGCAAGCAAATCAGGATGAATGCTCAATAATGAACAGATTATTTTTACCTGGTGTCTAAAAGACATCAAGGTGGGCATCAGTTAAGTAATGTGAAAAATAAATAATGCAGGGAATGCTTCACCTGTTGAATTTCTGCCACCTGTGCAACAGCTAAAAGCATTGGAGCCCTGCCAGCAGCACAACTGACAACCCCAAGCTAAAAGGTAAAGGTAAAGGGACCCCTGACCATTAGGTCCAGTCGTGTCCAACTCTGGGGTTGCAGAGCTCATCTCACTTTATTGGATAAGGGATCCAGTGTACAGCTTCCGGGTCATGTGGCCGCTTCTGGCGAACCAGAGCAGTGCACGGAAACGCCGTTTACCTTCCCACCGGAGCAGCACCTATTTATCTACTTGCACTCTGATGTGCTTTCGAACTGCTAGGATGGCAGAACCCCAAGCTAAAAGGCTGCATCCAATAATCTTTGCTGAAAGAATGCAGAGGGGGTGTGTTTATACATACAGAGAACAGGAACAGATCCTGGCAAAGGGAAGGATGGTTTGCATTTGGGAGGAAGCAGAAAGACTGGGGCGGGGAGAATTTTCAGCACACTTCCCTTTTCTAAGAAAGAGTCAGGTGGATCACAACCTTAATAATTCTACATTATTGCTAAGAGGAAGTTAGGAGCTTGGCTGCCAGGTGGCTGCAAGAACATAAAGGGCGCTACAGGTGCCATTGCCCTCTTCACTTCTTCCTGCTTCTGCTAAGGGCAGGAGAAACCTAATATTTTTCCTGTATCCTTTCCAAAGCAGCAGCCAGTCACTCCCACCAATTCTAATTCCTGGCAAACTGATTATATTCCTTGCTCTCCATCACATTTCGAGCTTGCTGTCCTGGGCTCCTTTGGGAGGAAGGGCAGGATAGAAATGTAAGAAAAGAAAGAAAGAAAGAAAGAAAGAAAGAAAGAAAGAAAGAAAGAAAGAAAGAAAGCCTACTACAGTCTTACCTCTGGTTGCGTTCGCTTCATGTCGCGGACTTTCGGGTTGTGAATGCGGCAAACCCGGAAGTATACACTGCGCGCACACGCGCAGAAGTGATCTGTCCACTTCGCACAGTGTGCAGAAGCGCTCTATCGCGCTTCTCACATGCGCAGTAGCGGCTCTCTAATTACAGACTTTTACTATTTATGATTGCGTTTGTAAGTAGAGGTACCACTGTATTCTAGTTGGTTTCAGTATGTGGCTTGTGTGTCATGGGGGGTGTGTGATACCTCATCCTTCACCTCAGGCAGTAAAATATCTTGGGCCAGCCCTGAAGTGGGGTGTCCACAACGAAGTGATTTCAAAAACACCAAACATGCCCAAATCATGTGGCGTGTCTTAATACCTTCATTTTCGAACAGCTTAGTTCTTGAACGTTTTGGCTCCTGAACGCCCCAAACCCGGAAGTGAGTGTTCCAGTTTGTGAACTATTTTTGGAAGCCGAACGTCCGAAGGGGCTTCCAATTGGCTGCAGGAACTTCCTTCAGTCAATCAGAAGCCGTGCTTTGGTTTCCGAACGTTTTGGAAGTCAAACGGACTTTCGGAACGGATTCCGTTCGACTTCCAAGGTACAACTGTACTTAGAAACAACCAGGGCTGCTCATACTTTGTTTCGATGAAGTCCCCTGCAGATTATTCTTTGTCACTCTCCAGCCTGATTTTTAGTCTCATTTCTGGTGTGTTAACAATTTCTGTTAATTCCCAGAAACACAGTCTGTGACAGAAAAATTCAATAACCAACTTGAATGTCGTGATTTTGTAGGGCTTTTTTTCTTTTTAAAAAATAAAATACATTTTAGAAGTTTTTTTAAAAAGAACCAACCCTCCATTTTGTACTGGAGGTTCTTTTCCGAGAACTATAGAACAGGCTGCTTCTGCCACTGGCCTGGCAAAATATAAAACACTAAAGATAAAAACATGGAAAGCAGTTATACAATAAGGGACATCAGGGTAGTTTTAACAGAACCAGGGTAGTTTTAACAGAACACTCACAGTAAATTGTACTATTGTTAATTAAGGGAACCCGTTTCCTCTCAGACAGCTGGAGAAGCCACCACATCCCTAGACCAGGGGATCCAGCCACAAAGTAATTCCCCACCCATTCCTAATGACACTCTGTGGTCAGCTATTTTGTGAGTGCTCTGTGAACCCTTACAGAGAACACTTCACCCTTGGGGACCCCAGAGGGCAGAGCAAAAGGTGTGAGAGGAATTAAGGGAATGTGCTTCTTGCAACCAGCCTGGGCGGTTCATTTTTTTCTCAAATCCCCACAGCATATAAGACAGGGTGGAGTGTGTTTTATGCTTCCCTTCTTCCACAAAAGTTGGCTCTCCTTTGCACACTGTTTCCTGTTCTCTGCCAGACGGCAGCAGCTTCCTCTACAGCTGGTCTAAAATGGTAGCACTAAAGCAGAAAGCAGGAGCGGGCTATGGGGTGGGGAGAGGAGAGGTTCAACAAAAAAGTCAAATGCTTGGGTGAACTATTTCCCACCCATATGGCTGTGTTAACACCAACTAGTATAGATGGATATACACAAAGAAAAAGCACAATACCTTCAGGGTGGAATTCTGCTTGCAGATCACTGTGAAATAGCAACATTTGTTTGTAGTGTTAACCCTGCCTGCCTGAAAACCCCCATGGTGTTCAATGGACAGGGCACCTATTTGATATTTTATTGTAAGCAGGAACAACCTAGGAGACCCTCACAAGATGTGCAATCTGAATCACACAAGTACAATACAAAAGACATAGGAAGCTTCCAAATACAGAGTCCAGAATATTGATCCATCTGTCTCAGTACTGCCTATACTGATTGGCAGTAGCTTTCCAGGGTCTCAGGCAATGCGTCTTTGCCAGCCCTACATGCTTGGGATTGCATCTGAGGCATTCTGCATACAAAACATACAATCCACCACTGAGCTATAGCCCTTCCAGGAATACTGGCCTCTTCCACACAGAAATACCCTTTGTATATCCTTCAGGATTAATGTGTCATTCAGAACTAATGCAGGCATCCATGTAAACAGTCGTACAAGTTTGCACATGACCTTTATGACTTTGTTTCTTGATCTGTGGGCAAACAGTGCCTATTGGGCACCTCCCTTCCTCCTGTCTTAGGACCAGAGCCTTATTTTGGATCCTACCGTGTCCCAAAGACAAGAGGTGCCGATTCCAGTTAATATGTAACTGGCTTCCTTTACCTTTCACCTTTTTCACATTCACCCTCCATTTTCTTCAGCACCTGCCACTCCCACAGTACACAGACCCAGGAAGAGAGAGAGAGAGCATACACGCAAACTGGCACTATTCCTGAGGTAAATCATTTTTCTGCCTGCAGGGAATATTTGGGGAAGAGTGAGAACCTGGCAAAGGGAGTAAACATTTTAAATTGCAGTAACTCTCCCTCATGGCAGGACTCCCTGTGCTGTTTTGGTGGGGGTGGGGGTTCTTGCCTGACTCCAGCAGTGCCAAATTGTCTGTGTGGAGGCAAGGGTGAAGTCGCCTTGGGCGTGGTTCAGAATTCAAAAACCAGTCTTCCTCCTTTTTTAGCACAAGGTAAGCAATAATATGCTTCTGAGATTTTGTATGACTTGGATGCAACAGTGTGAACAACTGCTGTTCTCGCCGTGTGTAAATGCAGCCTGCAGAATGAGTGCAGAATCTAGTCCTGAAAGTTTGGCTGTCTTACAAAGGGCACCTATTAGAATCAGTTCTCTCTAGGCTCTTCTCTTCATTCATTATGATTGCTTTGCTAGTCTTTGAACTCAGATGCTTGCCATCTGTCTTGTTTCTGTATGCTACTTGATTTCCCCGTTTCCTGTCCAGGTCTCTGGCTCTTAGCCATTCTCCGTTCCAACCTCAACGTGATCTTTCAATGTTCCACTATTCTTTTTAAGGGCCAAGGGTGCCTCCAGGCTGTTAGTATTTTGCAGGAGGTATTGAAGTGCATACTCAGACTTTAGGGTCTTGTGCACATTTGAGCGTTATTTAGCTGTTCGTTTGCTAAATTGGAATTGGACTGGAGTGGTTCACACCTGCACATATTTGAATTTGTGTATCAGGAGTAATTTCAGCCTTTCCCTTTCATACCCTTTTGTGTGTGTCCCTGTCTTCTAATTTGTTGATTCCATTATATGTATATGTATTAACAGGGCACGCACACAGATAACTTTCTGTGCAATTTGTGGTTTTGAAAAATTTCCCTGCCCAAATAGTGTGCAGAGACACACAGTCAGGCAACTGACGTGTTCCTGAGCTGTGGCTATGCTCCTGAGGCGCTCTTACTAGCTTGCTGGGAAAGAAATGAAAAAAATTGTAAATTCTCAGTGCACTTTTCAGATTGCTGCCAAATACATCTGGTGTAGAATTTTTTAATGTAGTCTGTTTGTGCAGTTTTGTGGTTTGTGCAAATCTGGGGGATCAAAAGGGGCAAAAATAATCCATTCAGGAGTGCACTGGAAATAGTTATGAGGACAGCTGGGAAAGAAATGTACGTGCTGAGGAAGTAGTAGGCATGGACAGGCGAGCAACAGAAGGTGACAACTGACTCACTCACCCCCCAAACACGGAAAAATACTTTATGTGACCCCAAGTGAATTCTCCCTATATTGAGTAAACCTGGATTTACCGTGGGGGGGGGGATGCATCAAGTTGTGTATTGTAAGGTCATACACAAATTAAATGGGAATGCAAAAGGCTGCAAACACACAGTAAGCTTCAGCATGCACAAGCTGTTTGTGCAATTCAAGCGCTCTGTTGCCCTTGTGCAACAAATCCACTTTAAAAAACAACAGACCTCTTGAAATTTGAAAAGTGATGATTAGGAAAGAGTGGGATAAATGAATGATTAACAAGATGTGTGAACATCTCACAAGCAAATCAAGATGAATGCTCATTGTCATATAACCATTCAATAACAAGTCAGAATGAATGCTCAACAAAGACCAGACTACCGTGTAAGCTTTGAGCAAGCAAATCAGAGTGAATGTTGAACAAACACTTTATCTGGAGGAACTCAAAGCTCATGGCTTTTATATCTTTTATTCATTTTGTAGTTCTTCCTTCAGTTTTCCTCTCCAACCTGATGTCTTGGCTTTAACTATGATTCTAATCCGCTAGAATGGACTCCTGATACCAAATTAGTTTCTGAAGGCCAGATATTGCAAAGTCCACCCATACAGTTCATTTCCTCACGTTAACTGCAATACAAAGGAATCTGCATTCACAGCCACGGAGTTGAAAGGCACCAGCATTTCTTAATGATAGGGAAGCACCCTGAAAATTGCTGTGCCATACCCATCCTACCCACATCACCCGCTTCTTACCATGGAGCAGGTCTCCAGGATTCTTGTGTCACCAACTGTGCCATGGCATTCCTATATTTCTTTTACAGCTTCCTGCAGCACAATGAAAGATGCCTGGTATTTCTGGGTCTCCAGCATGCTCTGGGTATGGACTGTTGCATCAGGACATCCCTGCAATATTGACAAGCAGGTAAGCAAGATATACATCTGTATATAGTGAAGAATAATCTGAAAATTCTGCATCCTGGAAGATCTTGATCAGTTTATCTGATTAAAGGTTGGCTGTATGGGATAGTCTCCAGATTTTTCAGTTCCACTTCCCACTTTTTTTTAAAAAAAGTTATGCGTTCTAATTACATTCACAATTAAAGCATACACTATTGTACAGAGGCTAATTCTTCCAATGGTTGTTATTTATATACGATAATGAACACTGTCATGAACTGTGTCCTGTAGCCTGATCCAAGGCTCAGAAGTCAGTGAAAGTGAACTTACTTCCAAGTATGTTTGCACAGGATTGCAATCCTAGTGAAATAACTACTCCAGACATAGCCTGGATTTAACTAAACTGGATTAATATGTGATTTAGCTATTCAGCTTTATCAACACTAATCCCCATACTGATCCCTGCTACTCTAAAGGGCAGATTGGGGAGATTAACAAGGTCAACAGGAGTGCAGCCCAAGTGAAGGGTTGGTATGCATAATCTCTGTGTAATTGATTTTGCCAGTACTCCTTTATGCATTTCAAGTATGTCACTAACATATGTGCGGGAAATGTCAGCTTGCTTCAGCTTTAGAGTACTCTAGTTCAAATTTAACACTTTTTAAAACAAAAACTTACATGAGATGTTGCAACTTGCAAAACATGGTTATTTGCTAAAAGTAGCATGCAAAAGCAGCCTTAAATTTGAGCATCTATATACTTGGCAGTCAGTCCCAACCACTTTTAATTGAGGTGAAGGCAAGCTGCAGAAGCTTTTCTGTCACCCAGTAGCTAAATGATTCTGTATGGGAAAGATCTCAACCCAGACTAAATAATTGATTTGAATGATGATGCTTGAATGTCTTGAGGTTTCATGCCGGTCGTATGATTTTTCACAGGGATGGGCAGCCTGCAGTGGAAAGAGCCTTCTCCATGCTCCAAAATCTCTTCCCAGACATATCACCAACCTGGACCTGTCTTTTAACTCATTGATAATGCCCAGACATGGAACATTTCTGAGAAGCTTCCCTTCACTGCATTCCCTAAACCTCTCCAGCAATACCATTCCTACTCTCTATCCTGGCCTCTTTTGTAACCTGGGTGCTCTCCGCCTCTTGGATTTAAGCAGTTGCAGCATTACCAACATGCACTCAAAGAGCTTCCTGGGCTTGAAAAACCTTCACATACTGCTCCTGAAAAACAATAAACTTCAGTATCTGGAACCCTCTGTGTTTCCTGTCTCTGGAAACCTCATCCATCTGGACCTGCAGGACAATGAGCTGTTATATTCAGGTGAACTTGCTCGGTTACTCGTGCAAAGAATCCACCATGTTGAGCTTCAGGGGAATCCCTGGGTGTACAGTGCCTCCATCACTCCTTCCCAACAGGGACTACAACAAACAGAAGGTGAGTCAAGCAATGGGAAGTGGGTTGTCGAGTGGACAGTACTCAGAAACATGGAGCTCCCGTTACTCAATGTGCAAACCAAAACAAAAAAAAGCAGCAGGTTGCATCCAACTAGAAAGCACTGTGGTTCTCTGGGTATGATAGCAGCTTATAAAAGGGCTAGTTAAAAGAAAAGCAACCCTTCTACCAAGGAAACTGGCAGATCAGTGGCCTGTCCTCTTCAACCAGGCCGCTCCCTTGCCCATGTGGAATTCTATACTGTACGCCCCTGCTTGAGGCATATAATGGGAAAGCATGCACACAGTCTCTGATAATTGGTTTCTAAATAATAATAATAATAATAATAATAATAATAATAATAATTTATTTATACCCCTCCCATCTGGCTGAGTTTTCCCAGCCACTCTGGGCGGCTCCCAATCAAGTGTTAAAAACAATACAGCATTAAATATTAAAAACTTCCCTAACCAGGGCTGCCTTCAGATGTCTTTTAAAGATAGGATAACTGTTTATTTCCTTCACATCTGAAGGGAGGGTGTTCCACAGGGTGGGCGCAACTACCGAGAAGGCCCTCTGTCTGGTTCCCTGTAACCTCACTTCTTGCAATGAGGGAACTGCCAGAAGGCCCTCGGCGCTGGATCTCAGTGTCCGGCCTGAATGATGGGGGTGGAGACGCTCCTTCAGGTATACTGGACCGAGGCCATTTAGGGCTTTAAAGGTCAGCACCAACACTTTGAACTGTACTCGGAAACGTACTGGGAGCTAATGCAGATCTCTCAGGACCGGTGTTATGTGGTCCCGGCGGCCACTCCCAGACACCAGTCTAGCTGCCGCATTCTGGATTAATTGCAGTTTCTGGGTCACCTTCAAAGGTAGCCCCACGTAGAGTGCATTGCAGTAGTCCAAGCGGGAGATAACTAGAGCATGCACCACTCTGGCGAGACAGTCCCCAGGCAGGTAGGGTCTCAGCCTACATACCAGGTGCAGGTGGAGCTGGTAGGCAGCCGCCCTAGACACAGAATTAACCTGCGCCTCCATGGACAGCTGTGAGTCCAAAATGACTCCCAGGCTGCACACCTGGTCCTTCAGGGGTACAGTTACCCCATTCAGGACCAGGGAATCCTCCACACCCGCCCACCCTGTCCCCCCAAAACAGTACTTCTGTCTTGTCAGGATTCAACCTCAATAATAAGATTAAATACTTCTGTAAAAAAAAGAGGCAGGTTTTCAGTGTGTCACTGACTACACCCAATAAGATGTGTTCATGACAAGCTCTCTGCACAACTGCAGTATTTCTGCTTATATTGAGGGAATAGAGGCTTCATAGCTGACAAAATGAAGACTGAGGAATAATACCAGGAAACCAAGTCGATTTAGGCAGTCTCAAACTGGGAGGTGGGCAAAAGGTTTTGCCTCTCATAAAACCACTTAAGATTTGTATTATCTCAATGGAATGAACCTAGGATGGAAAATAAACTGTAATTTCTCAGTCTGAATGGACATTAACAGCTTTTGTGTCCTCTAGCTGAGCTGATCCATGATTCACGCCTAGAGCTCCAGACTAAAGAGATTAGAACTCTGGACTATCAGGACCAGGGACACAGAAGAAAAGCGAGGGCCCCTCCAGATGAACATTCAACTACCGGTAACCTGACATCTAAAAATTACAGTAAGTGAAGCAAGACAGGCCACTTCCAGAGTGTCACCATTTTCAGGTGGGATTGAATAACATACCAGCAGATTCAGGTTTTAATTGATGTAACCCACCCTGGAACCTTAGGGTGAAGGGTAGGCAATAACTAATAAATGTAGGTTGGGAGGTCTTGAACAACAAATGTGCTTCCCCCGAATACTGGACTTTTGTGGCTAGGAAAGTGATGGGAAAATGCACAGGAAAGCATGGCATAACACAGGCTTCCTCAACCTCAGCCCTCCAGATGTTTTGGGCCTACAACTCCCATGATCCCTAGCTAGCAGGACCAGTGGTCAGGGATGATGGGAATTGTAGTCTCAAAACACCTGGAGGGCCAAGGTTGAGGAAGCCTGGCATAACACTTGCTTGACCTAACGACGTATAACCTCCTTGCAAACAAAACTATGAGTGTTCAAGAATTAGCCAATGTCATCTAACCTCTCAGCAACCATGGGGCAAACAAATCACGACAAATGCTCAATAAACTGGGGGTCCTTCTGATGAGCTATAACACCCATTTTATAATTTTTGCATTTGACATTTTTTCTCCACCGAATCCCAGAACCATCATTTGCTGGTGTTCCCCTAGGAGAGCTTTCTGTGAGAATGAATTAGAGTTGCAGTCACCAGTGCAAACAGCATGTGTTAGGGAGGCCGATTCCTGCTCGTTTTTTGCTGATCCAGGCATACTGAGATGATTTGGCAGGGTTGACAGAGGTATCCCATTCTGATTAAAACCATAAAGGGTAACTCTAAACCCTGGTGATGAGAAATGTTTTTAATGACATGCTTCTTTCTGGGCTTCCTGTTTACCAGAATTGTTGCTCACAACAGTGCTATATGAAAGCAGGAAATCCTTCCTGATGGTGGTGGTGCTTGCAACAGTCATTTACAAATGAGATAATTAGCTGATTCTAGCTACCAGCTTCCACACAGTTATGAGAAGCTTACAATGATGATCCCAAGGCAGGCAAAAAACCTCAAATCAACCCAACCGTAAAAGAGCCAAATCTCTATGAATGCCTTGATCCACAAATGAACAAGGTAGAATTTTAGGTTTTGTTTTGCTCTAGATTAGTTAGCTGGGGCTGGATCTGCAGATTACTCTCAGCAAACTTTCTTCCAGTCACATTGTGCTGTTTTATGCCACTATTGTATTAAGCCAATATTAGATAACCTTGTAGAAGGGAAGGATCAGGCATGGAAGGTCAGTGACAGGCTCCACTGTAGTCCCTGACTCAGTGAATGAAATGCTTGCTATACTACTCTGTGTTGACATCAATAACTTCCAATTTCAGCTTGATATGCTTAGTCCAGGAATGGGTGCCACTTGCCAGGGAGAGTGGCTCATATCTCCAATGACCTCTGTCGCTGTACTATTTTCATCAAAAGGACATAGGAATATGGTTTCCCCTGTTCACACCTATTAAGAAAAAAGACAGAGGTGTGCCATGCAATTCAATGCATGCTTACTCACTTCAGTGGGATTTATTCCTGAGTAAGTTTTTACATAGGTTTGTAGTCAAATATATTTCCTGAATGAGAACATGGGTAGTGAGTATTTTAACTATACACCAGCTTTCCTTTCCTTTGCAGCCTCTACTACCACACTTCCCCCTGGAAAAGTTGCTCATAGCTGGCCATACTTCGCTGCATTTGTGCTTTCAGCTATCGCCATCTCCATTGTGATTGCGTTGGTTGCTAAATGCAAATTGTTGCAGAGGAACCGTGCTAGCTACAACCATCAACGGCTGCCTGATTCCCGCTCCATTGGAAGCAGCCATGCTGAGGAAGCTGACATGGATGTGGCCTATGGGAGGAACCAAGGCATCCCTAGAGTAGCTGGGTGTCCTGCAGAGGATGATGATGGTTTCATTGAAGATAACTACATTGAACCCAACCAAGGCTTGCAGGAAGAAGAAGAGGAGGAGGAGGAGGTGGCAGAGGAGAAAGAGAATGAATTGGAACCCCATTTCAAACTTTGAGAGGATATTAGGAACCAAGCACCAATTTTTCATATTCTCCAATACCTTATCACCCCATTTTCTAGGAGCTTCCAGTTATCTCATACTTGTTACAGATTCTCCTACCTGCTATTTGGCTTCAGACCAATATCTGATCTACAACCCTTAGCTTCTTGCCAACAACTATATTTCCCCCCGTTTTCTGTACACTGAACTGCAGTAGCTTCTCAATACATTTCATTTGTGTAATTTGAGGTTATCCATGGATTACCTCCCACATTATTGTGTACTAGACTGCAGGTTTAGGCTATTGAAAGACAGGCAGAATTTTAATGAACCCAGCCCACTGTGGAAGCAGTTTTTAAGTGTAAAAAACCCCAAATTATGTGGTGTTGTTCTTTAAAGTCCTAGCACACACTTGATCAGATAAATATTCAAGGTACATGAGGAAAAGCTGCATGTAGTAGAGGTGGGGAGAATGGTGAAGAACAGCTTTCCCCAAACTGATGCCCTCTAGATATTGTTGGACAACTCCTATTGTACCCAAGCTAGTGAAGAGGAAGAGCTGCACTGATCCACAGAAAGAAGCCAGACTAAAAAGTAAAAAGTCCAGACTAGCACGCATCAGTACAATGTTTATGCATGGCCTCTCTCTAAAACCAGTGTCAAGTTTCTTAATTTTGTAGTGGTTCCAACGTATTTCAAGATGGAGTGGAAATTGTGATAAGAGCCTTGCTGTGAGATTTTTGGAAGATATGTTGCCAACATGTGGGAGAGAGATGTGCCTAAACAAAGAAGTTATTCTAAGGATAATACAGGAATGTGCTAGGGGGGACACTTGGTTCATTCACATCTTGTTTGTGGCCAACATTTTTTGAGTGTTGCCTGTGATAAGTGAGAAGCCCACGTACAGTGCTGCAGGCAAGTGGCTCTAGGATGCAGCTCTTGCAAACTTTGTAGGAATTAGTTCAAAACAGAAGCAGAATTACAAGGAGCATTGCAGCACCTCACTTTCTGCCGCCACTGGCATCACTCACACCAGCAACACTGCTTGGACTGAGGCAAAGGTGTGTTTTGCTATCTAGGTTTGTTCCATACCCTGGGCTGCACATTGTACAACCAGTGTATATAATTCCCTTATACAATCTCTTTTATCTGTGTATCAAATGATATTTATGCTTCCAGGTAAGCCATTCACTCTGTGCCTGGTATAATTGAATTGAGAACTGCCCATTACAGTGACTTTAGAAATGTAGCAGCAATCCTTCCTCTTACTATTTTCTCATTATTCTTCCTTCTGATTGTAGTTTTCTTCAACTACCAGTTGACCACTGGTAGTTTCATCAAGTGTTCAGCTTTAGAAACTCTCCTGTTTGATGGAAGATGTTCAGATGGCAGTGCATCATAGGCCCTTCAGATTGTCTGGGCATGTACACCTCTTCCCTGAAGCTGTGCTTGTCAATATAGCTTTTTGCCAGTACTGAAAGCACAATGATTTCACTACTGGGGAGTCTCCCGTTTCTCATGTCTGCTATCCTTTTCTGGGGATGATGGCAAGGTTGCTTCCATTGCAGCCACAAGTTTCTCCCTCCTCCTATGGGAGGGCTTTGTAGCAGGATCAAGCAAAGGAAACAATGGCACATGATGTAGAATCAGGTATAGCCTCATAAGCTCCAAATCCTATGTTAGTGCAAAACAAAAAATCTTGCCCCATTTGCTGTTTCAATTCCTTCCTGATATGGCAATGTCAACCCAGCGTTGTTTTGGGTGAACTGAATAAGGTTTTGGGATCAGAGAAGGCAATATGTTTCCCAGTATGTGAACATCACCTTTATTACAGTAACTGTATCAATAAGAAATTGCTCATTTAAGTGATATGAAAGTATTTCTAGGATGAAATACAAGGGAGACTTGAATGAAAATTATCTCCACCAGAATCTGTGCAGTGGTGTGGCTGTTTCATAATTAAATACACTCCAGTGTTTTTAAACAAATGATAATATTGTGAATTTAACCCTGAAAATGGGATCATTTGGGTGTTTATTCTCAAGGTTTATAAGATTGTACACAGTGTTTTCCCTTTAGTCAAACAAAACACTGAGCTGCACCTTCTCTTTACTTCTCTACAGCAAGGGGATTCTGTGCAAATACCAAGACTCCACATTATGTCTTAATCAGATATTTCAGCTAGTCATGCAGTATTGCCAGAATTATTCATAGCAATAAATGACACTCCTCATTTTTAGCTGTTTTCTCCCTGTTTGCTCAGACTTCTGTCCCTCACTGTAGAGTTATGGTTCAGTGTTGCAGCATCACATCAGAAGATGAAGAGGTGCTGGAAGCAACCAGCTTGTGTTCAATACAAAAACTGGGGTATAAACAAAACAAGGCCTGCAGAAGACATCTATAGCAAAATATACAGGCTTCACCCAAAGAAGTCATGAGCTGCAGCTACTTCCATTCCCTGTAAATGTCTACTTCCATCAAGGAAGCAGAAATCTGAAGTGACGGACATCATGATTCTCCAGCAAGAAATTGTCCATGTGCAGACAAGCGCAGTGGAACTATGCAAAACTTAATTTAAACATCTAAATAAAGTGGGCTGGGTTAGAGGCTTCCTTTTGCTGCAGGATATCTATAAAAATACATGTGAAGCTTAAAAAAAAAACTTGAGTCAAAGTAACCCAATTCCATCTAGTTTGACTGAAGCAAATGCATTACCAAAAGAAAGTCAAAAGAGGTAGGACCAATCAAGACATTTTGTTGCCTGAAGCAAAAGACAAGACAGTGGTTCCCCGTTGTTATTTTCAGGTGGGATTAAATCACCTAATGGGAAATTCAGGTCGCACAATTACAGTATAGTTGATTAGAAGCTCTTGCACAAAAATCATACTTCCCCCAAAGAGTGGACTTTTTGTGGTAAGGAAAGTGATGGGAAAATGCACTGGAAGGTGTGGTGTAATGCTTTGAAATAACATCATCTTACCTCCTTGCAAACAAACCAGGATGAATGCTCAATAGACATCCTTACTCCAGCACTGGTGATGGGACAGCATCCTCCACCACACCTGAGGGCAGCAGGCTAGGTTAGGGGGCACAGGTCATCAGATGGCCACATGACACACACAGCTATTCTCTTAATAGCTTGGTGCCACTACTCTACTCCCTGGCAACTGCTGACTGGCGTAGCACCCTCACTCAACCTAATGATAGCAGGCTCTGAAAAATGGGACACAGAATTGTATATACTAATGAAGTATATACAGGCACACATGAAGAAATTGCTACTATAAATGAAAATAAAATATATCTCACCACTGTGGCGTAAAGTCTGATCACGTGATCAAGCTTGCCAAGCTTGTGTTTACTACTTATGGGCAACTTCTAAGTTCCCCGTTCTCCCTTCTTATATTCTTTATATTTAAAAGGCTTGGACTGAATAGTTCTTCAAACACAGGCCTCTTTCAAAAGACTGTAAAGCCAGATGTATGGTCAGCATAAGCCCACCCCATTTTTCTGATAATGACGCTTCATTTTTCTAACTTCCTGCCATAAGGGGGAGAGGAGTAACAGTTCATTGGCAGAGTACAGGTTTTGCATTCAAAAGGTATCAGCTGAATCCCGAGTAGGGCTGGGTGAAACTGCTCCTAAAACTTTGAAGAACCACGAGCCGCCAATGAAAAAAACCCAAAATAGGCACTGAATTAGGTGGACCAAAGGTCTGATTTTGTACACGGCAGCTTCCTATGTTTCTACTTGTTTCTGTTGTAAATAAAAATATGCCCTTTTCCCTTATGGGGTATCCAAGAGCCCATATAGAGTCCTTACATAGGTTCCCTATTGGTAGGAGAAAATAACAGAGGCCAACCAGAGAATATTGAGAAGCAAAGCAGCTAGTAAGCTTGATCTTTATTGATCTGTTGCAACAGGGTACTCCCCTCACACACAGGAGAGGAAGAGGACCCAGAACAATGGCCTGCAAGGCCTTATAAAGACTTTTGAAATTCCCATCCTCTAAACATTACCGAACTTTGCCGAAATAAATTTGCTAGTCATTAAAATGCCGGGACACTAGCAGAGGGAACTCCCCCTCCACGCGCACGGGAGGCGTGACTGCTCGCAGCCAGTCGCACTGATTCAACAGTGCAAAATGGAGCCTCTTAACTCAAACAGGAAACCGGAGAGGAGGCGGCTCTGCTACCAAGATGAGCGAGGCAGAGCGCCTTCCGGAAATGACGCCGCGAGGCGGAAATCGCTCGCGCCCGGTCGAGGGACTGCCCGCTTAGAGGAAGGTGCGTGGCAATGTTCTGGGCGTTTGAGCGTGAAGCGCTTGCAAGTGAGTGACTGCCTTGGGTGGGGCGGGGTGGGGTGGGAGAGGCTGGGGAATGGGAGAGAGGCGCCCGCAAAAGAACCCGAAAGGGATAGAAGGAAAAGGATCGGGCCACAAGCAGGCGGTTTCCCGCTAACTGCCCGGTACTCCGTCCTCCAGCTCTCGAGCTTGGCGAAGCGTCTCCTCCTCGCGCTGGTGCTTTGCAATTTCCCAGATCTCGACCGGCTCGCTTGCTGAGCCAATTCCCTGGCACATTTCTGTAGGGCAAGTTAAATAGGTTTTTCGTTATTCTCTACGAAAAGAACTCCACACACACTTATGCCAGCACTTGGAAATTAGACCGAAAACACAAGCTGGAAATTAAGCCTGCAATCCTAAGTATGATTGCTTGAAATTTAACTCCCATCATAATCCATATCACATATTTCAGAGAATGTTCCTTAGGTTCGGAGCATTAATGTCAGACCATTGTTCCATCTATCACAAGATCTTCTGCACTGACTGGTAGCAATCCCCTCCCCACTCCAGCCCTACCTGGATAGGACTGGGTTTGAACTTGAGACATTCTGTATAAAGAGCTCCTCTTATTATTTGGTGATAACTCATAGCCGAGTAAGATTGTCTTCCATGAACATGGTCTTAACAGTGAGTCCGTAAGTGACTGTGGAGGCCAATCCTGGATTCACACATCCACAGTGGGGACATCGGTTTCTGGGTGGGAATTGAGCATGGTGAGGCTTTGCAAAACTTGTCTTCCTCTTAGCTCGTTTCTCCTTTTCATCCTGAGTTCCAGCGTCTTTGAAGTCCATGACAGCAGCTGTCCAGCCACTGAACTAGGGCTCTTCCCCATTATTTCCCTTTCAGAGGTCTAACATGGGGCAAAGTTCTCTCCCTGCACCCCCCCACCCATATTTTTTTCTGGTTCCATTGTTGTAATCTATGCATGGCTTTCATGCTTTTTCCTAGACTGAAGTTCTACACTGGTGCACAAAATGTGTAATATACCAGTAGCCCATCTCTGCTTGCTTATGTTTGACTAAGTGTTATTCTCTCCAATCCCTTCTCCAGTTCCCTTGTGCTACAGCACTGAAGGCGGTAATTTTATTTCCAGTTCCTTTGGGGGCAGTTCCTGGCTCCCTAATCACAAATCCTTATTTATATTACTGACTGCAGTCCTATCTATATCTGTTCAGAAGTAAGCTTCATCCAGCAGGACTTATTTTCTAGCTGAGTGCATAGGGTTGTAGTCTTAAGTTACATTTCCACCACCCTTTCAATAGGTCTGGTGTGGCTCTCTTGGAATTAGTAGGCAAAGAGCTTGCTAGGTTTATTGACACAACTTCTAAACCCACCTACCTCCGCTTCATAGCTGGTGCAAGACCCAGTTGGGCCATGCTGATTGTCTCTTGTTCTGTTTGTAGACCGACCAGACAAGATCATGGCAACTCAGAGTTCCACGTCACTGCAGGATTTGATTCGGGAAGATTTTTTGACTTGCAAAATCTGCTATGACCTGTATGTGGTGCCCAAAATCTTGCCATGCCTGCATACCTACTGCCAAAAATGCCTAGAGCCCTTGGTAGAAAATGGGACCATACATTGTCCTGAGTGCCGTCTGCAGTCGGAAGCTCCTGGAGGTTCTGTGGGGCTGAAGACCAATTTCTTCATTAATAGCCTCTTGGAACTGTTCCAGATGAAGCGCAACAAGGACCTAGAGTGCACAGTCTGCTCTAGTGCTCAGAAAGTTGTGGCTGCCACTGCCCGTTGCCTGGATTGCAAGGATTTCTTGTGCCAAATATGTTCCCAGGGCCACTGCTGCTCCCGCCTCACTCTGCACCATAAGGTGGTGAACCTGGAAGAGTTCCTTGCAGGGCATTATGACACTGAGGTAAGATTTTTACAGGAACTGTGGTGCCAAGATCACCCACAGGAGGCGCTCCGTTTCTTCTGTGATACCTGCAGCATGTCCATCTGCAGGGATTGTCGCATGCTGGACCATTTCCAGCACAAAGTGGTATCCATGTCCAGTGCAGTCCAGCGGAAACGCCCTTCTGTAGAGCAGTTGATCAAGAGCTTGCAGGGAACAATTACCTGCATCTCTGAACAAGAGAAAGCTGTGGAGGAGGCAATGGACAAACTAAAAGTAGAGAGCGAACGTGTCAAGGAGAAGATCTGCAAGTATGTGGAAGATATCACTACTTACATCTTTGCCCAGAAGGACTGTGTTTTGGCAAAACTGAATGCCTTCCTAACAGAGCAGCTGGAGCGTTTTTGTTTAGCACAGAAGGAGCTGCAGAGTCAGAAGGACAAAGCAATGAACACTCAAGAGTTTTCTCAGCGTATTCTATGTGTTGGGAAGGACTCTGAGATCCTTCACCTGGAAGGAATGATCAGGACTAGAGTTGAGGAGCTTCAGGCGCACAGACTCCCACAACTCCAAAGTCAGATTCCAGAATTAACCATTGCCTGGGATGAACCCCAGCAACTCTCTGAAGGATCAATTTTCAGCCTTGTCTTTCCTGGGGAGCAACCCACAAGAAATGCGCAGCAGTTGGAGCTCGGCAGTGAGTCATTGACGTCTCTGGGCGAGGAGAGTGGGGAGGTTATGGGCACTCCTTCTGATTCAGATGAAGACTCCCTCACAAGTGAATCTGACTCCCACTTTAAAAGCCCTTTTTCCTCCACTGGCTGGAGCAGAAGAGCAGGGTATGCTTTCAGCTTTGCGCTAGATCCATCCCTCACCAAACAAAAGCCTAATATCACTGGGATTGCTGTTGTGCCTCACAGTGGTCAAGTCGTCCTTTTGGATCAGGCAAATGCTGAGATAAAGCAATATAGCGCCTTTGGCCACTTTGAGGGGGTGATTCCTTTGCCTGCATCTAATTCTGTCTTCTGTGGCATCTCTGTGTGTGGAAAGATCCTGGCCTGTTCCTCAGAGACTCATCTTTTTTTCCTGAATCTTGATGGATTATTCCTGCGTAAACTGCAGCTGAGGGGCTCTGAATCGTCCTATCCCCTTGCCTCATATGGAGACTCTTATGTGGCTGTTAGTGAAGGAACTCTCTGTTCCATCTCATTGTATAGCCCATCTGGGGCATGTGTTGGTAGAGTCCAGCCAGACAACTATCATGGGGGGAAATTCCTGTTCATTGCTGTAAATAGCTGGGAGGAGTTTGTCGTCTCAGACTTCATTAAGAAACAAATTGTGGTCATGGAGAAGTCTGGGGTTGTTCTGAATGTGCTTAACCCCTCAACTTCACTGCTGGCCAAGCCATTCAGCATCTGTGTTGATGAAGACAGGAACATTTTTGTGATTGATCAGTTCAAAGTGATACAGTTCTCGCCATATGATAATACTGGGAAGGTTGTGTTCAGTGGCCAGGGTCAGATGGGAAGACCCAGAGTCCTGGCCATTGATGGTAATAACCTCATTTTAGTGAGGGAAGATGGAAACACTCATGTCTTTTACCTATACGGTAGGTTGCTATAGCTCATTAGAGTATGAATCAAGTGCCTAATTCTGAAATTCTGAGCATCTTTCTGGAGACTGGCACTATTGTGTTAACTAGATATTGAGATGGGCTTCAGCCTTTACTAGACCCGAGATCAGACCCTGGGTAAGAAATGCTGTTACACTCAGATGAATATGCATTGCTGAAGTCTTCTTGCTATTGTTAGAGCCTGACTTGAGAATAACAGCAGTAGATCAAGATCTTACATGTACCTTTAAACCATGCATTGCATTCACACAATTACTATGATCTTGTCTTTGTTCAGACCTCTGGAGTCTGCTGCTTCAATGCAGATCTCAGTCGAAAGACCCATGAGAACAGGTGGCCTGACTTTTATTTGGAACCGACATTCCTACTTTCTCTGACATTGTGGTCATGGCAAATTTTGTAGATGCATCAGCAGGCTTGGTCCTTCATTCAATGAGCAATAGACCAGCTATTCCTTTTTTAATCTGATAATTCAAATTCAGGCATCAAGGTTAGTGCTGAGGAGGTCTCGGTCCTACCATTATATTTACAAAAACTAGGCTTAGAACATTCCACTTTCTTCACCTGCTGCTGTGTGGACCAGGAACTATTGTGCCTTGCCATCAGATTGAATTTTTTTGAGAAGGGGCAATGTGAACAAGCAACGTAGCTTCTAGAGTAATTTTAACAGTAACATGCATTCAGTGTGTGATTTGTGGAAATGTGGATGTGTTTTCACATACATCTTCTCACAAGCATTTAATGCGCTTGCATAATCCCTGAGTACCCATGGAATTGTAGAAATTCAATAATTCTCCTTGCATACATGTTCCTTACTCAATGCCTACTAAATATGCTGTCTTTGCTAGGGCTTGACAACTGTCACTGGCTCCATAAGCAAACGTGGAGGTGCTGAGACCAGGAATATTGTATTCCAAGCTTTTTATAGGCACACAGCTCAAGGCCCATGTCTTAAGATCCATGCAGATGTCACCTATGAATGGCTATATGCACATTTAGTTGGCACCAAGATCCGTAGTTGGTGAGCTACTGTCTAATCTTCCTGCTGTTCATTTTGGTAGTAAAGTAGTCATCCAGTTCCCGACTTTCCACATTCATGCCCAAGGATGCACAAATGACTAGTCTTGAAGACGCACTTGAAGATGTAGAGCCTAATATTACCTTCTGCAGGCACACATATTGGAAGGTGGCCTTTCTGCTGTCTTTTAACACAAGGCCAAGATTGTTCCTACAGATCATTCCCTTTTTGACCAAGCTATGCTGTAGATTTCCTTTGATAGCTCTGTGCTTGGGAAAGTTGACTAGACATGTATTTTCTGGGGAAAGAAGACCAAAACCTAAAGAGTAAAGGGATCATATGCTGCCTGCAAATTTAGTTCCTGTTACATCTAGTTATCCTCTGATTAAACAGGAAGGAATTTTATCAGCCTCAACATCCTGCACCTATGCTAGGCCCCTGAGCCTTCCTGCGCTCCATTAGTTTTACAGATACTATGGCATTGTTCAAAGAGCAGTGGCCCAGAGTGCTTCAAAGCTGTTGCAGTCACCAACTGGGCTTCTTGCCTTTGTCTTTTGGAGTTGTTGTAGCTTGACTTCCTTCCTCTTTTCTTCTGTGCCCTCCCCTTTCCTGGAGCAAGGTTGGGGAACCTGTGGTCCTGCAGAGGTTGTTTGGACTCCAACTCCCATCAGCCCCAGTTAGCATGGCCAATGGTCAGGGATGTTTGGAGATTCCAACAGAATCTGGAGAGTCACAGGTTCCCCATCCGTGTTCTAAGAAATAGGTAACTGTTGAAGGTGTGAAGAGGAGTGCAGGTACCTCTCTGCTGAATGCCATCATGCCTCATGAGTAGCCAGGGTCAAGGGTACCCCATTGTGCATTACTTTGTTCTTAAGGAGCTGTTAACATTTCTTCAGTATATGCTTTTGATATTAATAAAATTGAATAAATAGCCATTTTGTTGTACATTCTCAAGCCGTGTGACTTGGAGCTGGTTTGTACACAGCAGAAAAGTGCAAGTCTCAAATTGCCTACTAACTTTTCACAAAGAGAGACAATGTGTGCATCTTTTTGCATATTTACTCAGAAGTAAATCCCAGTGAGATTATTTCTAAGTAAGCATAGAGGTTTTTGCCATGTTGGAAAAATCTTGAAGGATATACTGTGGCATATATTTTACTGAGTTTTTGCAGTAAATCCACAGCCTTATATCAAAGCCATGCCTAATCCTTGGAGCATGAAAAAGTGTTGTGTCCTTGGCTTTCACCTTACTTTGTGCGATATAAAGAACGGGAATATGACTTTGAAGCCTTGGACTTGTGGGCTTTTACCTTAAGGTTTAATCACAGATGGTTTCTTTGAGGACATGTGAACACAACTTAGATGGCACTTATAGTGTGGGGGCTGGTAGGGCAGGGGTCATGGGAACATGGTCTGTTTGGGATGCCAACATATTATTCACTAAGGTATCCTAAAGAAATTTGCTATGACAGCACCTGGACCTGAATAATAGGTGCACTTTTAAGTTTGGGCCTTGAACCAGTTTGGTGAATAACTGCATGTAGCCCACACTCCTAGCAACAAACCCACTACAATTTCTATACTTTATTTCACATTGGTTTTCAGTGCACACATGATCAAATGAGATTTAAAAGGGGGAGGGAGACTGACCCAAGCATCATCATTATTCCCTAGATACAGCACTGGGGGAGCTGACAGAGGCATTAATAGATGAGACAAATTTATCCTGCTGCATCGTACTGCAGTAGAATAATAATAAAGGACTGCTTGAGACTTGTATGAGTTAAATCTCTTGCAGCTCATTTCCTCTGTAGGTGACCCCACTACCACCATAACATTTCACACATCTCATTTACTTACATCTCCTTGTAAAAGAAACTTGAGATTTTGTATTTGGAATGAAAAAAGCAAACATTAACTTGTTCCTAATTTGTATTATTTACTGTTGAGTGCACAATCTGGAGTTTCTTTGTACAGAATACCTAGATTCTCCAATTTGCATACTGATGGCATACACTTGTATGGTTTGTGTTTGGTATAAGGGCAAATTGTGAAGGTGTAGCCTTCTGCCTTGCTGTAGTATATCATGGGAGACATTGCCATGCTTCTGCTTCTATTGTAAGCCTTTCAGTGATCCTGGCCCTTTAAAAAAATTATATCAGCTGTTGCAAATACTGCCCCTTGCTCTGCCTGTTGAGCATCAACTCATTCAGGGCAGAGGCTGTGGATTCTGGGCTCCTTTATAAATCAGGGCTTGGGGGTCACCTCAAGTTAAGAATTGATTCAAGCTAAAGAGATATGGTTACACTAGTGTGGGGAAACTCAGTTGGGCACAATTGTGTTCACAAAATAAATTGTACCCACTGATTTTTTGTATCCACATTTGAGTCTACTTCAAGACCTTTTGGGAAGGTGCTCTAGATGGAAACTGACAGACAGAGCAAGCCTACTTGGCTGTTAGCTTTGATGATTTCCCTTACAGAGAGGTCTCTTGAGTAAGCAAAGTAGTTATTAATTCCTCATACTCTATGAACTAAGTCCCCCAACGCCAGCTGTATTCGCCACCCATACATTGATGCTCGTCTTGTATACATGCACACATTCCTGGTATCAATTTCCATAGTCTTGTTTCTAACCCTGAGTATCCAGGGGCATTCAAGCCAGGAAATGTCACTCCCATCCATGTATCCTGCTATCAGGTGCCAGTGCTGGGTAGTAAGGGTGTGTGTGTACGTGCCTGCCACTGTCTTCACTGTTCTGGCGAGGACAATAAAACTGTTAGGATATATGCTCCATGCAGCTTAGTTATCCCTCAGCCTCCATGTAACTATCCATTCAAAACAGAACTGTATGCATTCCATGATAATGACAATCACATCACACAAAAACAAGGTTTGGGCACCAAATTCCATTTCCGTATAATTGCATCATTCATTTTTGTAAAAGTAAGTAGACCTTGGGGCTGCAAAGATAAATATTAAGAGGTTGGGAAAAATCAATATAAATTATTTTTTTAAAAAAGAAAAAGGTTGGGGTAATGCCTGGTGCCACTTCAGAAATGTTGGGGAAACTAATTAGTGAAACGAACATTTGTGTGTGAGAGAGACACACTATCCAAATTGAACAGCCTCTAGTACCATTTTCACTGTTGTGCTGGAAAAGCCTTTCTTTGGAACGTTGACTATTTCCACACCTTTATCTCCCAGCACTCAGTAGCGAAAACATCTTTATGTGTTGTGGTCTCTGGCCAACAAGCCCAGGCCGCTATCTCGGCAGAACAGCTCTGCAGCAGAAATTCCGGCACATTGCTGAGTGCAGCACAGGAAGACGCATCTGGGCCAGGCTGGTTGTCGTAAAGTGCAAATGCCAGGTCCAATATGGAGAGTTCAACCCTGCGGTCAAAGGCGGCGGCAGCCACTAGGCGTTTACTTGAGGGTTAAATAAGATTTGCTGTGCTAGAGGTAGGAGCGAGCCGCCGGTCGGCCGAGATGCGTCCCGAGATGGTGAAGAGGGTGCTGTTGTCCCCAGCGTCCCGGTTCGGAGGTACAGCTGAGCAACAAGAAGTCCACATCAAATAGAGCAGGAGGCTGAGCAGGATGATCGCTCCGGAGGCTGTGAGCACAATGCCACTGACAAACATGCTGGCAAGGGGGCGCTGGGCAGTTGGGTTGCTGCCAACGCTGGTGGTGGAAAGCACAGTGAGGACTGTGCCACACACCAGCAGCACCAGGGCTGTCACGAGCAGCACCGCACAGTCCGAGGCACCGCCGCTCTTCAGTAGCGCAACTTGCTCTCGGCTGCGAATGCAATTCATGTCCTGGATGGCCGAGCTCAGCAGCTGCTTCAGTAAGACCAAGAGCGCCAGTAGGCAGAGTGTTGTGCCCACTGCCAGCCTCCATTCCCCAGAGCGGCTGCTTGTACTATAGAGCAGTGCAATGCCACCTACCCCACAGGCAAGGATCAGAGCCACAGCTACCCCATAGCAGACAAATGACTTTCTGGGCTCCTGGAACCACCATAGCTCCACATGTTCCTCCAGGATATTCCTCTGGATCCGGCTGGCGTTGGCTGGGGGTCTGGGCACACCCAGCGGCTCTAATTCAGGCATGCTGGACACTGGATTGGCTCCTACATAAAGGTGGGTTGTGCAGATGGAGCTGCCGCTTCAGCTGGCAAGCCTGGATGGGTGTGACATTTCCCAGCAGGAGAGGGCAGCACCCTTCACTTTTTCTTCCTATGTGAGGGAGCAGTGCCAGAGCCAAAAGCCTGCAGCCCGCGTATTACTGTATGATATCGGAAGCGCAGCACAGGAGGAATGTAGGACTCCTCTCTCTTGAAGCCAAAAGTGAAAAGCTGCTTCAGCCTTGTAGCTCATTTGCTTCCAAGCTCACGGGGATCCTGGCACATATCTGAAAAAAGAAATGACAAAAGGTTACGAAATGAAGATTGCCTCTAGAGAGGGGAGGGATCCATCTCCTTTCTCTTGAAACTCCACTCCCGGAGTTCCTAAGGAAAATGCCACTCCCTCTGGGGTCAGCTAATGTCCATGCAAGTAAAACCTGCTTTTTATGGGCAGGGCAACAGCCCTGTCCATGCCTTAGGAAAATAAATCAAAATTCTGCACTTTGCCAACCCTAGCTCCGCGTGCCAAGAAAAGCAGATTTCTGCTTTCATAAGTAAATTGTAATTTGAATGTGAATTAGCCATATGAAAACAAACCAACCATTTGGACAGATTTTTCTTGTTTTGCAGAATCCAAATCATTCTGTCATAGAGAAGCTCCAAAACTGTACAGGAAATGCGCTTCTCATCTCTGCCTCAGCCTTTATTGATTTTACCATGCGCTACACACCCATCTTGAGGACAATGTTATCTTCACAGTGCTTAGAATCATTTTGAAAAAGATGAATGCTGTTATTCCTCAGGATTCTGAGTTCTATTCTCTGTGTTAACATCTGTGCTGGAGTGAGGCAATTGGGTATTGCACCCAGCTTTGCTTATGGCACGAAGACGAGAGATGGAAAAATAAATAGAATTGGGCAGTTCTTTCATTAGATAATGGTAAAGGGTGAGTAGCCAAAGCAGAAATCCAAGTTTTGTGATTTCTTCCTTTAGTTTATTTTTTCATATTTAAAATATACATGATATCATATGCTGTCACAGAAGCAATGAAAAAACAAAACACCTTATCCAATACTGTTCAGAACTTTCCAGTCAATGTTAAATAACTGTCAGAAGACTGCTTCCAGGCCCCTCCATATTTGAACAAAGATAGTCTAGACAAATATGCAGCTCTCTCATGTGTAGCTACACTTAATCTGTTTTAGGGCTATTCTTGCTGTTTCACATGTACAGAAACCTGCACAGGGTCCTATTGTCTGTGGAGAGAAATAGCAAATGGAGAAATCCACTTTACATGTGTATTGATCAGCACTGGATGCTACTGAACATGGGTACACATATCTGCTTTCTTGGTCCAGTGCATTTGGTTATTACGTCATTTTTATAGTTGCATGCAGCACATGGTTATGAACAACTCTCTGGATCGGGGCCAAAGATGACCTTGCATTAAATCCAGAACTACTAAAATCACAATAATCATCATCTTATTTGTATGCTGCCTTTCCACAAAAGAACCATTTTACAAGAAATAAAAATGAACCACATCTGAAAAGCAACCATCGTAAGAATAATTCCATAATAGCATAATAAATAACAGCATAACTGCAAATCTAAGAACATACAAAACACATTTCAGTACTATAAATATAGCAAGATTACATTAGCAACATTATACCTCCTAGCAATACCAAAAATAACAAGGGATCTTGACAGTTTTGCCTTGCTCCTCCATTCACCTCTCCCAAGATATTGCTCACAGTCCCTCTCCAGCAGGTTTCCAAAGGCAGGAGGTAGCTGGAAACAGGGGAGAAACTAGGCTTTCTTTCACCCAC